TTTTGTTCGAAAAAATTTAGCCTTTGATGGAGAAAATGCAATTTTAAGTACCAACGGGCTAATTCTAATGGTAATTTTGTAATTCAGTTTTCTCAGCTTTGGAAGGAGCTAGAACAAAAATTTTTTTTATCATTAAATAGGGAATTGTTTATACTATATACACCACTATTCAAAACAAAAAAATTCGCACCTACGATTTTTTCAGAAAACGCCGCCTAAATGCCCACTGTGTGAACATGGCAGCAGTATTCACCACTGCCATTGGATTTATGATCTCGTTGGAAAACTATCAACTTTGTTTGTATTATAACTAAAAATCTCATTCGGTATTGTAAGAGTCAGCCATCATGATTGTTATTAAAAACAAAAATTATAACGTCTTTACAATCAAACATATTTTCGTCTATCTTTCTAACCTGAGTTTTAAAAACAATTATATCTAATACCAAATAATAATTCGATAGTTGTGAAACATCGATCACGATTACCACAACATCTATAACTTTTTCTTCGTTTCTCTCCATTTTTCATCTATCAGTTTCAATTATCAACATCTTTTATGATTTATCAGGTTACGTAATTTTGATTAGAAAATATTCTTTCAATTTATTCTCTATTATGTCTGAAATAATAAAAATGAAGTAGTGAACAAAAATTAACAAATGGAGATGCACTGTTTTTTTAATACCTTCTGTTATAACTGACATATTGAATTTTACATTAAAATCTGAAATGGAATAAAAGTAGTAGATGCATTACGTTATTTTACTTAATCAATGTAAAGTGATTCTTAGTGAATCATGAAATCTCCAGATAGTTTATCGGATCACTATCTAGTAAATGTGCTTGTATAACAAATATTTAGATTTTTTTAAAAGTAAAAAAAGGTACTTATATATTTTGATATTTCAGCAAATACTTATCAAGTATTGATTTATAAAAATATTTTACCAATAATTAATTACTTTTCAAAATTTGTATATGTTCAAGTACTTGATCTCACATACATTCGCTAGAACCAAGTCTTACGTATAGAATTTGTTTAGGTTAGACACATTTCACTAAAATCTTTCAGTTGGTAAAGAAAGCATATTTACACACGTGTCTAGTTATAGAAATGAACAGGTTGGAGATAAATTCATATATACAAATGTAGAACATAGCTGTAATACGTTTCTATCATTCTACATAAAAGTGAATCGCTATATTGATTACTGATATAGATATGATCTAATATAGAGTATCCATTTGAGGTGTATGTGATAATCTGTTATTCGGGTAAAATTTTTTATACAGGTGTTCGATCACCCATTGCGACACTTTTTGAAGAAATGTTCCATTATTTTTGATTTATTATTTTTTTCATCGAAAAATCAATTTAAATCGATTTTTTTTTTGAATAAAACCTCTTTAAATTTACTTTTTTACAATAGGCGTGGTACATGAGAAAGTCAGTCTAGGCTAACTTTCTCATGTACCACGCCTATTAGTTTTAGGAAAAAAATTTTTAGCTTTAGGTTATCACAGGTATCCACGGATGCCTCAAGTCTTTTGTTCGTTTTTTTGTGATATGCTACTCTTGAGTGAAATACCTTATTTATCTTATCTTACCGAGGTACTTGTCCCAAGTTCTTGGCCACAAGTATGTTCGTCAGGGCATAATCTAAAACAAAACCAGTTTCGCTCAGAGCGAATCGCTCTATGAATTGTATCTTTGATTATTTTCAGTAATTAGCAGGATCAAATTAGTAGAAGTAGACCTTATATTTTAGAATAAAATGTTACTGTAGAACACGTGCTTTTTCTTTATCAGAGATTATAAGTAGTATAAGAGACGTCGATATAAACAAAATTCTACTTTTTTCGTCCGTCTTTCTCATACATTATTGTACAGTATATATTTTTGTGAAAAAGATTTTCTATTTAACAGGGCAAAAAGTACAATAGTGAATAGATATGTAGGCATGCAACGTAAATAACCGGCGAACAGTTATTAATGATCAACTTCATTGAACTTGCTGAAATGAGATTTCAAAAAGTTTTATAACTTTTGAACAATAGCGAATTCGGGTTCTGTTTCACTTTTTCGAGGTAAAAAATTGCGCTCTTCCCCAATTTGATATTTTTAAGCATTGACTGAATGACTTTAGTGTATGTAGATACAATTCATTCAGAAAAAGGAGAAACACATTCGTTGTTGAACAGAAAATCGTGCTTATCTCGGATGGGGAGCATTTTTCTGAGATTGGGTCTATGAGAGAAAATGTAGAGAATCAAATTCTACACAAGACTCAATACCCTTAGAACGTTTATCATTTTGCCAAAAATCGTTTCGTTTTCGAGATAACTCGTTTTTAATGATAATGTTTTTCTTCAAAAAGTATCAGTGTTATTTCTGCTACAACTCCGAACTGATCAAATTTTACATTACTTAATGAATGTCATACTCCAGAGTTGTTTTAAAAATATCAAAATCAGAAAGAGCGCAAGCTTTTACCGAGAAAGTAAAAACAGAACCATCAAATTCGCATAGTCATCACAATCTAGTCTCACAATTAATCTTAATCGTCACATAGTCTAATTTTGAGATTGTAGATTTCAATTTTGTAGAAAAATGGCATCCCAGCATATTGAAAGTCATGATCAGCAAACAAAACCAAAAACAAATACTACCACCAACCAAGGAGCACTAATTGAAGAACCGATTCGTTATTCCATTAAAAATAATGAAATCTCCTTAGTAAGTAAGCAAGGAAGGAAATTACTGCTTTTCTAATTCGCTTTCTCGCTAATAAAGTTCAATTTCTGAAGTACCCTTTCTCAATTATACTTGTACAGATCTGTGATCATTTCTCCTTCAGGAATATTCAAAAAGTACGTCCTACGAGAATACTAGCAGTCGGCTGGAAATCGTCGCAAATGTCATGCCTAATGAAGGTAAAGATCAATACTAGACAAGAATAATATACATAATCCGTTTTTGTTCTCTTTAGTTTTTGGTGCAATTTCATCATTGAAATTGGGTTTCAAGATTAATTTAATCTCTCATCATCCAAGAGATTCTCGCTTTGTTGTTTGGTATGCTCATCCGTTACTAGATGTAACTAACGAGGGAACATTTCCAAGTGTGAGTCTCAGTTTTAAATGGCATATGTACCAGTTTGTAGAGCTCGACGAGCTGATTCTTCTGGTATGTTCCGTTTTTGCCCATAGACCTCATATGAGAAAAATCAATCGATTTTAATAGTAAATTTCTTGCCTAGATAGTAGTAAGATATTTGTTAGGAAATCAAGAAATCAAGGTTATTTGAAGTTCAAATCGTCGTATTAACATAGACAACGAGACGTGCAATATATTTGAGTGCACTTCAATCAAATGTGCTTCATGACTTATTACTGTTAGTACGTGATAGTGTAATGCTATATTAAACAAGTAAGATAACGATAGTTCTTTTCATTGTATTGTTATGCACTCATGATACATATCCCTTATTTTCTCATTCTTTCTAGTATATTCTAATTGGTTCTTTCTATTCTATGCTTATCGGCTATCAAAAAAATTCTGTGACTTTCTAACATTTTCGAGTGAATTCTTCCTCCTTCTTTCCAATCTATATATATATATCCGTCATTTGGAAAATAGTCCATGATAAATCTTCTGATTAATATTCTCTCAGATTTCACTTCATCAAAACTTATTTGGTTATGATGAACGTCGTTAACATATGTAAACATTTATATGAAAAAGTATTAGAAAGGTCAAGTGTTCATTCGATAAGCACCACAGAAGAAGAGATACCGATCGCAATCAATCTGCTCGATCTATTAGAGGACCTTTCCAACAGTAACAGCTTTACAATAGAGACAGAAGATTCTCTTGAAGTTTCTGATGTCGATCATTTTGACCCGGACTATCCTGTTGAAATCGAAGATGATGAAGAGCAACAAGTAGTCGAAAATCGTCAGTTCAGTTTAGAATATATGCAAAGGGTTGTCGACTTTGCTCGTCCAGGTGTTGCTTTTACAACCGTACAGCATGCTTTTCGACGAGTTACACATCCTATGCAATTAAAGCGATTTCGAGAATATGTTGCAAGTAACGGAAACCGCCGGCAAAAATTGGAGCGTGTGGAGCATTTTGTACTTGATAGATTTCGCTCTGCTCGTAATAACAATTTACCTGTGCACGATCTTGACGTGAAGCGATGGGCTCTATGCCAAGCAAAAATAGAAAATATAGATGGCTTTAAAGCAAGTGACTATTGGCTCCTCAATTTCAAAAAACGCAACGGTATATCTTCCAGAAAAGTGACAAAATTCGTTTCTCATCGGGAAGTTGTTGATAAATCTATAATTAAACAGACTGCTGATGATTTTGTCGCTGAAGTAACAAAGCATATACCAAAATATAAGCTTGATTTTGTGCTAAATCCCGATCAATCCAGTTTTAAGTACGAAATACCTTCGAACCGTACACTATCATATGCAGGAGAGAAAGCGACTTATTTATCAGTAAAATCTTTGAATGCTATAAGCCATTCCTATACAGTTATGCCGATCATTAGTGCTGCTGGTCAGTTGCTCAGTCCTGTTTTTATTTGTCTTCAAGAACCCACGGGTCGGTTTCCAACTACAAGAGCGGTCTTTTCAGCATCAAATATAGTAACTAGTTGCAGTACATCTGGGAAATTAAATAAATCCTTAGTGGAATACTGGACTAAAGAAGTTCTCGATAAAGTAGTCAGCAATCGATTCCTTCTTATAGTCGATCAATGGTCACCGCAGGCTGAGATTACTGTATATGAGAATAACCTGACAAAACGACAGTCATGTAAATTGTTAG